CCTGTGGACTCTCGTTGCAGCTTCCTGGGGTTTTTGCATTGTGGTTGCTGGGGGTCACCCAGGGCTTCCCTCTGCTTCTCTCTGGGGGGGTGCGGTTGTCCCTGTTGGGGGACTCCGGGAGCTCCGGGCTTGGGGGACACTGTGTGTCTGTGGCTCCGGTCTTCCCTGTGTTACCATCGTGTCCTGTGGGGATGGGTCTGTGGGTCCCCACATCCACTACTGAACATTTTTAAGGTAAATGGCAAATGGACTGTACTTATACAGTGCCTTACTGCCTTTCTATCTTATTTCAAGATACTCAAACGCTTTACACTACAATCTGTGTCCTCATTTACCCATTCATACAGCACTGTACTAGTTAGCTACTTTGCTAATTGAACAAATCATTCTAAAGAGACTAATCAGTGCTTTGAGATCACATTCATACACTGATGGAACACACATCAGAGGTTATGAGGGGTTCAGTGTCTTGCCCAGAGACACTTCGACATGCGACTGCTAGTGGATTCGAACCCCCAACTTTTGCATTGAAGGACGACTGCTCTAAGCACTTACCCACAGCTGCCCCTTATGGATAAACTTTATAGTGACAAGCATGCTCACACAGGTGTTTAGATTCAGGTGTTTATCAGATACACACTCAGGTGGGTTGTGGTATTCACTAAATATATCTTGTATTACCATGTACTGTATAAAATACTTTCTAATGATGTTATAAGTATCATTATATATGTTGATTGTTGTTGTGGTTTCTCGGTTTTGTCTTGTTTATTTTTTTTCTTTCCGCAGGTCTAGAGGCAGACTTCAATGATGTTGATTTGTGTTCTCTTTATCCCTCTCTCTCTCCTCTGTTCTTATCTACTTCTTTACCTTTTAACCCTTCTCTCACTTTTCTGCTTTGTTTTCTTCTTTGTTTCTCATCCCCATGTCCATTACATCTGAAACAAGCCCAAAGCAAATTCTGATAAAGTTTTATTTATATATCAAGTGGAGCATTAAGGCCAGCCATAATGCTCTGCTTGTGAAAGTAAATCTATTGAGCATCACTTTGACACTCAGACAATAATTCTGAGTGTCACAATGCCGGACAGGACAAGGAAAAAAAAAAAAAAAGTTTCACGGCAACAGAAGCACAATGAAGAAACATCTTCTTTTTCTTTTAGCTTTTCCTTCTTCAGAGGTCTCCACAGCGAGTCATCCTCTTCCATCTCACTCTGTCCTCTGCATCCTCTGTCCTCACTCCAACTACCTCCATGTCCTCTCTAACTGCATCCATATATCTCCTCTTCATCTTGTTCTTGGCAGCTGCATTTTTAACATCCTTCTACCAATATACCCACTGTCCCTCCTCTGGACATGTCTAAACCATCTCAGTTTGGTCTCTGTAACTTTATCTTCCAGTTGTTCAACCTGTGCTGTATCTCTGATGATCTCATTCCTAATCTTATCCATCCTTGTCACTCCTAAGGAGAAACTCAACATCTTCATTTCTGCTACTTTCAGTTCTGTCTTCTGTCTTTTTGTCCATGTCTCTGTCTCCAGACCATACAATATAGCTGGTCTCACAACTGTCTTGTAAACTTCTCCTTTGACCTTTGCTGACACCCTTTTGACACAAATCACTCCTGAAACTTTTCTCCATCCACTCCATCCTGCCTGGACTCTCTTCTTCACCTCTTTACCACACGCACCATTTTCCTGGACAGTTGACGCCAAATACTTGAAGTCCTGCACCTTTGAGACCTCTGCTCCTTGTAGCCTCACTGTTCCACCAGACTCCCTCTCATTCACACACATGCACTCTGTCTTACCATGACTGACTTTCATTCCTCTTCTTTCATGTGAATACCTCCACCTCTCCAAATTTTCTTCCACCTGTTCCCTGTTCTTACCACAGATCACAATGTCATCTGCAAACATCATAGTCCACAGGGATTCCTGCCTGACCTCATCTGTTTGGCCCTTTAATGTGATGATGGGCTTAACTTGACTTAATGCTGAACTGGTTCACCACCCCTGTGTTAGAACATTACCATTCCTATCTTTAACAAGCATAACCTGTTATACATCCTTTCCAGCCTTGGTCTTCTTCTCTGATTTTACTATTTTTTTCTTCTTCACAACAACAGTCATTCTACACACAATAATCCGATGCGGTCTGGCCACGCTCTCCCCTGCCACAACCTTACAATCCCCAATCTTCCTCAGGTTTCCTCTTCTACACAGAATGTAGTTGACCTGCGTACTCCTTCCTCCACTCTCATAGGTCATTCTATGTTCCTCCCTCTTTTGGAAATAAGTGTTGACTAAAGACATTTCTATTCTCTTGACAAAATCCACCACCATCTGTCCTTCCTGATTTCTTTCCTTGATACCAAACCTACCCATCACCTCCTCATCCCCTCTGTTCCCTTCACCAACATGTCCATTCAGCTCTGATCACCACTGTCTTCTCCCTGGAAATACTCTCTATCACTTTATCCAGATCCTTCCAATATGTATATTTCTCCTCCATATCATATCCAACTTGTGAAGCATTTTCCTTCATTCATTCAACCTTTTTTACAGGTTAGTCTCATTGAGTCACGAGGACTCGTTTACAAGAGGGACCTGTAAGCATAACCACTGACAATGTTTAGCATCAGACCTTCTACTTCTACCTTCAGACATACCGCCCAATCTGACACCATGGAGAAACATAAGTGAAGGAAAAAAGATTAAAAAATGACTCCATTGTTGTTGTGGTTTCTATGGCACAAAGTAAAAGTGGGCATGAAACATTTGAAACAGGCAGCTACATCCTCATGAGCTATGTATCTTGTGTCCGAACAAATTTAACATAAACTAAAGTTTTAAAACCCCGCTTTAAAAAGCTTCATTTTTTTTATTTGTTTTTACACCAAAAATTCAGATAGGACATGTAAACACAATAGACAGTTTCTGTTTTAGAGACTAGGATCGGTATGAATAAGAACCATATTTTACACTAAATATAGCTTTAAATCATTTTATTAACATTTAAAAAAAAAAAATTGAACAAAACCAAATAAAAAATTAAAGAGCAACAAATAAAAGCTTTACCTGGGCTGATGACAGTTTTTAGAATGTTTTCATGGTCTTTTTGATGCAGCAAAACTTAAGTATATTTACTTTCTGCATCTAAAAACATCATCTAACCCTTAAAACGTTGGTGCTATACTTGTGTATTGCTCCTTCTGTCTGAATATCTCCATAAAAAAAGTAAATTCACACTAGATTCAATGCAATCCTTCCAGAACATTTGTGCAAAATCCCAAAAACATTTCCACCGTGCAATCTGTCATTATTTACAGCATTAGAATGCAGTCCTATAAACTAAATGTCTGCTGGAGCTAACTGAAATATGTTGTACATTATTATTTTATTGCTTCCACACATGTGAATATGTTTTAAAAAAGCCACGTCCAAATCCTAAAAGAGATATTTTGTCAACAAACCATCATCCTTCTTTATCCCACTGATGTTGGATTTGTTTTGCACCAGGCCTGCATGATCAGAATTTCAAGCTTTGGCTGGGTTTAGCTGCAAATGACACATTCAAAAAAAAAAAGGCAGTAATTGTTGTGTGATACACTGTCACTGAATCTACAGAGGCAGTGACAAATTACACTCAATTACCTGACCATTTTGAGAGAGAAATCAACTCCTTATCTTCATATGAATCTTAAAAATATATATAATTTCATTTCATGCACATTCACAGTCCTCTGAAACATTAAATGACAATTAAAACTTGGCTGTTTACAAAGCAAACCAGTGTATAAATACTGGAAGCGCATGATGGGCTCAGTGAAGAATCTTGTCTTTGCCAAAACAATCATAATGCATAATTGTGTGATGTTGTGCAAGCTGCTTAGAATTCAGCCGCTTTCAGCGAACACAGCGTGTGGCCTTCATACAAGTCTGATGCCTAAAATGGAATGATTTGTAGCTGCTAGATTTGTGTTATTTTAAAAAGTCCCTTTGGTAACAAAGGTAAAAATGCAAAGCATCTGGCTGAACTTACGAGATAGAGGCATTCAGGGTGGGTCTAAAATGAATGTGTGTATTATGCATATTACGAGGACAGCTGATTAAGAGGCAACGCAACATTTTTGTAGTGGCTCCATTTTTGTAGTGGCTCCATTTTGCTTCAAGGCAGAAAAACACTGGTTTCTCCCATCGTTTCTATAAGAACAGTCTTCTCTACAGGAGCGCTCAGTTTAGAGGGACAAACAAAAACAAAAAAAGCCTGTTGTAAAGACTCTCAGCAGTGAAGAAGCTCCTTTTCTCTTCTCTCGTCTTTCTCCTCGTGATTAGCATTTCAAACACTCCTTGTTTTGTGTCAGGACTTCATGCTCGTGTGCACGCCGCCACAGCCTTGCAGGTGGTGGCCTGTCCAGTCGGTGGAGTTCAAAAAGCTGCCCGTGTGTGCTCATATGTGTCTGGAGAGAGTGAGTGTGCGTTACTGCGGTAAGGATGAGTCTGCAGGGATCTGATCGTGTGGAAAGCTGAAACGAAGGGACGCCACTGACTTCAGCTGCTTCACATTGTAATCATAAATTTCTCAGTATTTTGTGGTCTACTGCTTTGAGCGGCAGAAAGTCATGAGCCGCAGACTAGGTTCACATTTCTGCTACCTGAAAATCCACAAAATCTCTTTTTAAGTGTCTGCCAGCAGCTCCATCCAAACTTTGATTGAGAACATCACAATGTGCCCAGCATTTCAAGCACAACAAAACAAAGGCTTTTATCTTCCTTTTTTTTTTTTTTTGCAGAAGCTCTCACTTGTTTCAACTGGTAACAAAAAAGGTGCTTCACCACTTTATCTAGCATCAGTTCTTAATAGATTGCGCTCTCTGTGGGATTAACACAAAACAAAACTGTTCAAAGACAAAGGAATACAAATAATGAGTTGCTACAGTTTAAAGCTCAGCCAGGAGATATCTAATTAAATCTCTATATTTTGTGCGCTATCAGACAGGGGTCCAGTGTTACTAAAGTTGACTGCAGCAGGTCAGGTGTGGTTTATCAGCTCCTCTCTTGTTATCGTCCCACCTGAAATGAAATGGGGAAAAAAAAACATTCCAGTTTTTTATTGCCATGAGGTATTTAAAAGTGTGGCAAAGGCATTTCAAGCATGAGATTAAAACAATTACTTTATTTTGCTTTATTTTCAATGTGCTATTCAATCAAATTTAACACTCTGAAGAACTGTTCATTTGTACAAATGGAATTTTCACAAATACCACTTAAAGATGGATTTTTAATTTGGAAAGTCGACGGTGGGGGCAGCTAGACTGATGCTGGTACGATATAGAAGGAGGTGGGCAACAAAACACTCTGCATAGCCAAGAATACAGCTTTGCAAGCCATGTGCACAAAACAGTGATTTTCAAAAGTTGGCTACTCAAAACGAGTCTGCACAGCTCACCGATCGCATGATTGCAACAACGCAGAATTTAATGACACTGCGTTAGAAAAAAAAAAATTCTTTTCTGCAACTCTTTCACAACTTTAAATCAACAACTTGTTTCCAACAGTCACAACCCTGTGAGATACCATCCTGGACTACTTATCAGTACGCAGGAAACAACATACTCAGCTTGGCTAAAGAATCTCCGGAAACTACTTTTTTAGATGCTCCCAGCTGGACAACAAAAACAAGTGTATTCGGCCACTGTCTCATCTCTCCTCGGCTCTGCATGACATGGCTCTAGTTTTAAGGGCCTCTCTACTAGAGTTGCATTCGGGCCCAAAAAAATCCGACCCGACCTCAGCCCGTAGCCATCATTTTCGAACCCGACCCAATGAATTAACAGTAATTACAGGTACAAACCTAAACACCCCACCCCCACCCCCACCCAACATTTTTATTTAAGCTTTGACTGCTTATATAGTTATTAATGGTCGGCGGACACACACAGCTGAATAAAAGGGGGCAGAAGATGGATGGGAGCTGAGGGGGTGTTTGTCCTTTCATGGCCATCAAAGTGCAGTAGATCCCAGCTTCTGCCTGCATTCTGCATTATTCAGACACGGACCCTGCTCTGATATGTCTGCAAGGATATTTTGGGATCTCATCTGTTTGGGTTGTCGTCCGCTGAGTGCAGCTTTGATGGATCGCTGCCTGGCAGTAGTCCCATCTGAAGCTCAACTGAACATTTTTTTTACGTCTTTCAAGGCCAGTCAGCGCACGGTCAAAGGCGGCGTGCAGCTGGTGATTGTATGGCAAACCATGTTGCCATATAATGGATTGTATGACAAGTCATGTTACCATAAAATTGGAATGTCTGGCAAGCCATGTTGCCATATAATTGGATCATCAGCCACGTGCATCCGGTGATGCAATCAAAAGCCCAACACCGACCCAGACCGCCCATCCAGCACATTATTATGACCTGAATTTGGGTCGGGCCGGGCCGGGCTTCAGGCCCGGATTAGAAATGACAGCTCTACTCTCCACTCTAAAAAAGTTAAATCTGGTCCTCTGGACATTAAAAAAAAACCAAAACAAAGCAAATCAACAAAAAAATGTAGAAACGTTTCGTCTCTCATCCGAGAGACTTCCTCAGTCTGAGGTGCTGTATTCAGCTCAGTCTCTTAAATAGCACCGTCTCAGAGTGGATCAACCAGTTTTGCTGCTGACAACCAAAACCAGCTGATCACATGCTCAAGAAGGACCATCAGCCTAACAATGGATCATTAGCACACTGATGGCTGTTTACTGTTCACAGAGGGCTGAGTGATACTAGCAATCACAGCATTGTAAGAGGGGGACAGTTGAACCCGGAGGCCTCCACCCCTGTTTAATGATGGACGATTTCTTTTCACAAAGATGGCCTCCTTTACTCCTCTCTCAAACCATCGTTCCTCTCTGTCCAGGATGTGAACATCTTCATCCCTGAAAGAGTGACCGCTGGCCTGGAGATGAGTGTAGACCGCAGAGTCCTGGCCTGATGATGTTGATCTTCTGTGCTGGGCCATCCTTTTGGCCAGTGGCTGTTTTGTTTCCC